AATATATATATATCTCAAGTATGGGATTAAATGTACCACCAATCATGTAGAAACGGAGTGCTCACTGAGATTCAAGGTAACGTTGTTACACAAAATTCTCATCTCTTTTAAAGATGCTTCAGGGGAGGATAGGGTGCACAATTCACAGAAGAAAATGGAAATTTATTCCACAACATTGGGGACTGTCAGAATATCAGAATCCAGATTAATATTACTTCAGCCTAGCCAAGATTTTGAAGAGTCTCATTAAAATAATTTAATAATGTGACACTGTGACTAGAGAGCAAGTCAAACAGACATTTTTTGCCTTTTCATTAATCAACTGATCACACACATTCAAAACATCTTGCTAGTAAATGTCTGCGTTCTGAGAAAATGATAAACCTCTATTAGCATGATGATGAGAAACCATAAATAAAAAGTCCCGAAGCATTGTTTCATCATAAGTTTGGGGCATTTTACAATACTGGACCATAGCAAGAGCATGGTTAAGGAGTTCTTGCTTTCATGATTTCTGTTTAATAAAATTAACAGATCATTACGAGCTAATAAGTAGACTTTTAAAATATGTATATCATAACTTTGGGGTTTATCCCATGCAAGATTGTAGAGGTCCATATGTACAATTAAGCAGTCAGAGCAACAAAAATAATATTTTTTCACAAGAAAGTGGATTACACATAGCACATACTCATTTGTAGAGTGAAGAGCAAAGGAAGGAGGAAGGAGATGAAAGGACACAAAAACAAGGGCCAGGCAGTTTAACGGGAAAAGCTTATAGGACACACGTGTCAATACCGAATAGTTTCTCTGGTGTGAAAAAAATATGTAAATTAGGTTCAAACTGTATAATTGATAATGTGTAATAGGAAGAAAGGGGCTAAAGAAATAGGGGAAGTGGGAAGGGTAGGGGAAAGGAAAGAATGTAAAAGAAAAGTATGAGAAAAGGAAAAAATGGAAACAAAATCATAGTAAATAGGGAAGGTCGGAGGGTGTGAAGGAAGGATGGGTATGGGGAAAAATAACCAAAATACATCATGTAAAGGCATGAGATCCCAATGATGAATGTAACTGTATCATATACCTAAAAAGTATCCATAAACTTAATGGGAAAAAAAAAAGTGAAAAGCTTGTAGAAAATTACATTTGCTTTTCTTTCCTCCATTACGGGCTGTAAGAGCTGGAATTTCCCTAGATTAACACCAGAGGTCATACTCATCCACAAAATGCATTTGAACTCTAATCAACTAAATATCTGTATTTCCAGCATCATGTATTTTTAATTTCTTTATTTTTTCCTTAGAACCTGCAACACTATCTTCCTTACACAGTATTTGTTTTATGTAAAGCTTGTGAACATGTACATGCTGACAATACACACATGCACAAATACACTTTGTTAGTTTCCCAGACCACAAGGTTTTAGGAGAAAGATTCAGATTTTTGACACTTCAACCTTGTTATTTTACTTAGATTTACATTATGACATTGTTTATAATTCTTTACAAGACTATCTGTGTATGCTGTCTCTCTTTATTATGCCTTTAAAAGCAGGATTCCACAAATCGGCGGACAGCACAGGGGGTCCACGACATCTGTTTCTCATATGGAGGGATCTGAAGGAAAGCTTCAACGGACCTACGAAGTAAATATTTTTCTAAGACTCGCGTGTTTTTCTTTGCTGGGCAATTCAACTATTTTGTGGTGCCAAACACAGGTTGCAATAAAAATAGAGCCTTTCTGAGCATATTTTTCCTTAGTGATAAACTTAAGTAGGGCATCAGGATAGCATAAATTGCTCCCTGGTAGCACAATTCCACGTTTCCTAAAACATCATAAAAATCCTTGAAAACACCGTTATTTTTAAATGATGTATTTTCCTACCATCATAAGTAATATACATTTGAAAGCATTACAATTATTATTACAAGTACTCTTTATAGGTCTGTATTGTGATTATAAACTGTCAAGACTTGAATGAACCTACTGATGATAGTCTTACTAATTTTTAGTAATGCTTCTATATTTCAGGGACTAATTATGTTGGGTCCTAGCCATCCACTTCATTAACTTTTCAAAATTCTTTCTTTTCTACTCTTGTCTCCTACTCTTTCTCAACTAATCGACATATCTACAAAAATTTGACCAAAGCCAGGAAGACAACAGCAGCAATAAAATATACTAATTATGCTGGTAAAATTGAACTGTGTTACTTAAGTAAATGGGTGAAGAGGTTGAAATTACTAATGATGTCTTTTTTTTAAAAAAGTCTGTGTTTCACAAACATCCTTTGTAGCTAGAAACACACTCAAATATAGAAAATCATTTTAAAAAGAAAAGGGAGAAACTAGATGTAGAAGTGCATGCCTTAATCCCAGGACTCAGGAGACTAAGGCAAGAGCATCCTCGTTGTGAGTTCAAAGCCAGCCTGGGCTACATAGTGA